TTCTTTCTTTCTTTCTTTCTTTCTTTCTTTCTTTCTTTCTTTCTTTCTTTCTTTCTTTCTTCCTTCCTTCCTTCCTTCCTTCCTTCCTTCCTTCCTTCCTTCCTTCCTTCCTTCCTTTCTTTCTTTCTTTCTTTCTTTCTTTCTTTCTTTCTTCCTTTCTTTCTTTTTTTGTCTGCATATCTGTTTTGCTCTACTGCCCTGATGTTTTCGCTCCTCTGACTCTGCAGTAGGATTTGAAGATAGGTATTGTGATAGCTCAGCATTGCTTCTTTTACTCAGGATAGCTTAGACTCTTTGGGGTCTTTTTTGGTTCCATGTAAATTTGGCACTTTTTTCTCTAGTTCTGTGAAGATTACCATTGGAATTTTGGTGGTGATTGCTTTGCAGCTGTAGGTTTTTCTTAGAAACATAGCCATGTCACAATAATATTCTGTTCAGCCATATGCTTGTGGGATTTTTTTTTTTTTTACAATGTTTTCTTCAATTTTTTTCTTGGTTTTTATTATAGAAGTCTTTCACTTCCTTGGTTAGGTCTATTCCTAGCTATTTTATTTTATTCTTTTGAGGTTGTGGCTACAACAGTGTGCAAGCAATCAATTTTCAGATCTCTAGTCCTTAAACAAAAGTTAAAACAAACAAACAACAAGAACAAAACAAAAAAAGATGGCATCAGTTTGGATTCGTGGTTTGGACCTGGTTTGTCTCCCAAAGGTTCATGTACTGAAAATGTGGTCCCTAAAATAATACAAGAGGTGTAGTTTAGTGGGATTAGGTTCTTTAGAGGGGACTAATGCTTGCTTCTCAGGACTGGATTAGGTACCATGAGAACAGATGGACATAAAATTAGCTTGGTTCTCTTGTTTTGCATTCTTGCTTTCTCTCTTGTCGTGTGCTAGTCTCTCTTTCTCTCTCACTCTGTCTTTCACATTACATTCATCATATACACTAATCTGTGACACAGCCTGACAGCCTTCAGCTGAGGCCAAAAAGATGGGGCATCTCAAACATGGAGTTTCTGTTTCCAAACCGTTGAGCCCCACAGCCTCTTCTTTATAAATACTTAGTCTCAGAAATTCTGTTATAGTGTAGTAATAGAGACATCATATAAGGGATTACCCACTGTATTCTATTTACATAAAAGATCCAAATATTAGTATTTCAGCGTGTAATTAATGTGATTTTTACATTAAAATTAATTATTAACATTGAATGTGTGTGTGTGTGTGTTTATGTGTGTTCACCCATGTGCACTATGCATGTGTATGGAGGGCAGAGGACAGTTTTGTGGAGTTGGTTCTCTCCTTCCACCTTCATGTGGACTCTAGGGAACCAAAGTCAATGTTAAGGCTTGCATCTCAAGGCAGGAAGTACCTGTGCTCTCTGAGCCATCTTGCTGGCTATCCATCTGAAATTGTGCGTGGAATGTTCACCATCTGTTTTAGTGATACATTTGCGATCTGATGTGCAGTTTGCACTTAGAGCACGCCTTGCCTTGTACCTGCCAAATTCCCAGTGTTGAGTAGCAAGGCTGCCCACTGCGTCTAAGCCCATCGCCTGGCCCTGCACGGATAAGCCCCAACTGTAGATAATCCCTTTTTTTTTTGTTTGTTTTTTTTGTTTTGTTTTGGTTTTTTTGTTTTTGGCTTTTGGTTTTTTGAGACAGGGTTTCTCTGTGTTACCCTGTGTTTTGTTTATTGTTCTGTTGAGACAGGGTTTCTCTGTGTACAGAGCCCTGGCTGTCTTGGATTTCCTTGAGCTCACAGAGATCTGCCTGCCTCTGCTTCTTGAGTGCTGGGATTTAAGT